TTATATAAAAGTAGCATATTACACGCTATCCTTCGTTTTAAATTGTAACATCATAGCTTGACCTAGTCGTTTGTACTCTGAAGAAGGAAGGCACTGCCTTCCGAAATATTGGTAACAAAAAATATATATTCCGACTGTAAATCAGCCTTGCTTCTTTTGCTCAACACGAAGGAAAGCTCCTATGAAAGATATGAAGACGTAATCAATCGGAAAATTGAGTAATTTCAATTTTCAGTGGACAAAAACCTTGTACCAGAATAATTTAAACTGAGGGCTAAAGATGTAATTAGTTACCTGTAATAACACCAAAAAAAATTGTTATGGGAGCCCGAGAAAATAAATGTAGAATTTCACAAAATGACATCTTACACATTACATTTTCAGACTTTTACCTATGTTTTTGCAATTCTTGTGAAATTTGAGCCGGCCCTATCATATTTTCCTGTTTATCCTACTACAGGAGAAATTTCTGCAATTTGATTGGCTTAGATCAGTGGTATTTCAGTTTAATTTGAAACACCTACATGTGAAAATTACAAACCTTTTGCGGGTAGTAGTATAAACAAATAATAGCAGAATTTGTACTTGATATTTGGCATAAATACCACTCGTGATATTTCAAAATTGTCTCGAATTTCACTCGCCTAACGGCTCGTGAAATTACGTACAAAAATTTTGAAATATCACTTAAAATTCATGCTATTAACAGGAAAATATGATAGGGTCGGCTCAAATTTCACAAGAATTAAAATTACAAAGGATTTAGAGGTAAGGCGAGATCTCGAAAAACCGGGCCAGCCCGGTCAGAAACATGTTTCCATGTTTCAAACATCATCTTCAGCCATACAAGGTATAATTAATACTAATAGCGTAAAAGTAAATCGGTAAAACACGATCCAAACAATGATTGCTTATAAATTCAAAATTCGTTAATGCTAGCCAATAACATTGACGTACAACAAGTCTGGGCTGCCTGTGATGAAATATGCTGAAACGGGTCAGTTCGGGGTGGTTCTCCAATACAATATCGTTCCGAACGATTCTAGGTGGAATTTGGTTATTAACAGTCGAAGACAAGTCCCAACAAGCCTCTTAATCCTACACTTGGATCAACAACCCCCTGTTCCCATCATCATTGACATCATTGCCAAGTGGTGCACAGGGCAGAAACAAGATTCCTCCAATGATCTCTTGCTCTTTTTTCCGCGACGTTTCCCTTTTTCCCTTGGTAAGGGTTCTAGCGTCACACCTAACCCCCAACCTGAAGGGCTAGGAGACTACAGCGCTCTTGTCCAGCAAGGATGAATCTGCTAGTGGTATAGACTCAGCTAGCATAGCCAATTAATGCTCTTTTTTGCCACGAATGCTACCCTGGGTGCCAGAGACTTTTCTAGCGCGGTTTCCGGTTTCTGTCAAGTCTTTATAGTGACCCGCGCGAAAAGCCTCTGGAGCAGAGCGCAATAGCCCTTTCCACTAATGACGTCACAAATTTCTGGTCCCTGCTGTGACCCAGACATTAAGCCTGACCAGTATAAGAGTTTACTGATGGGAAAGTCACGTTCGGCAACAAATTTTCGTCGTCTTTGAAGATGTTTATCGTTAAAGGAAACAAAATCCAGCTTGGTTTCGATAATAAATATCCTGAAAATAATCAACGCGCACCAAGACAGCGTTAAACATGGAAAAAACTGTCTAAGGTGACAAAACCTATTTTTAGTAATAATACAAAGCGCTTTTGCTTTGATGGCGCCGATCCAATCGTTAGCACAGTTGATTAAATCAGCTGGTCCAGATTTTGGACACGACCGCTGATTGGCTCCTAACGACCACCTGAGGGACTTTGAATCTAACAGACGCTACAAGAATAGACCAGCACGTGAAAGAATATTTCCAACTGTGCTGTTGACATGACGTAAGTGTACCCGCGAGAAGTGTTGTGATTGCGGCTTCGGAAAGTTTTGAAAGGGCATTGAAGGAAAGCAAATGATAAGCAATGTGCTAGAAGAGTTTGACGGTGTAGACAAGTTAAGCTGTGAGCAAACAAGTGGTGTATTTAATTTTATTCAACGCAAATAGGCTTTTACAACGATTACAACATGTTTTGAAATAGTTTGTATTGATGGATTAGGAATATAAAACAAAACATGTATTTTTAGTATAAAAAGGGAGTCGGTAAGCAACACACGACTTTTACCTCATTCCAAAATGCTGCTTGTTCCAATGAATTCTATTTTTTTCTCGGACGCGTAGATTATGCTCTGGAGGAAAACGTTTTGACTGTGCAATTTTATTTTTGCCGATTATTTCATACTGAGAGCATAGTTAGTAGAGGTTCCCCTCTACTAACTATGCTGAGAGGTCGTGACACGCATATTCATTTCCTGCCGTTGTTGTGTCTGGTGCCCTCTGCTGCATGACTATTTTCTTTGACCCCTTTTGAAATGTTAAGCTCTTCATTGCGCCTAATAAGGGTTTTAGGTTGTTTAATTTCTCCAAAGTGCCTCCTGGAACTGAATAATTATAAGCGATTTTGTTTTTGTCCGTGAATGTGACGGTTTCTCCAAATCTCGAAGAATGGATTGAAGCTTAAACTGAAGTTACATCAACTTTGGAGAATTGCGATGTTACCCAGTCATGATTGCTCTTAAAGCAATGAATTTTAAACTCGAACTTGTTTTTCTAAGGATAATGTGGGTCTTTGGACATTTCTTGACGTGCCGGCCCACATGATCAGAGTTACTGACATTCAGTCTCATTGGCGTTAATGTAATCCGATAAAAAAGCTCAAAGGTCAACGGGGACGGTAAAAAGCATCGCTACGTGACAGAGGTTTTTCTCGCGGCTTCGGCCTTCGGCCAACACCGAAAATTCCCGCCGCACGCGAGAAAAACCTCTGGTACCCTAGCCTGTTCCAGGCTCTCAGATAGTGGGGAAGACGCGAAAGTAAAAGGCACGGGAAACACGAATGCCGCCGTTACACCTTGACATCAGTCTCACGGGAGGGGTATACCCCGGTGTTCGGACATGATGTTATGGAAAGCAACCCCTCGTCTGCTATTGTAATCTGTACCACCAAGAGAGGATAATGGAAAATTATCCTCTTTGATACCACGACTTTATCTCAGATATTGTATTTCAGCCCGGAATCAAAAGTAATCACCACACTTTGCACGTAGCTGTTATCCTGTTCTGGAAAGCGCAACGGTGATCTGAATCAGGGCCTTTGAGTAAGTTCATTTTACTTTGTTTCATACTAAGAAACTTACATTTTGCTTTTGAAAATATGTAAGTCTTTGTTAGGGGAAGTACTGCACTCATAGCCATAGCTAGTTCACAGGTACTCCACTCTTATAATTAAAAACTAATAATCTAAACGAGGCAAAACTTTGTTTAACACCCCCAACTAAGCAACTGACTACTTACATACATGGCCGTGGATCGAAGTTAAACTGGGAACTGTCGAGAAACAATTCCAGCTAGCTTATGGTAATAGCGGAACTCCGAGATCGCCAGTTTGCATGTCCGAAGCGCTGATCACTTGGTTACGCTACGTGCTGCTCTTGATCTCACTTATCTTTATAAATCTACTGTAGCTGTGTCGTTTTAGAACAACAGCGTAGCTTAGTACAGTGTTGTGACAGTGTGTGTCTCAGTACGAAAAGGCAAAGCTACGGGAAAGAGGAAGGACTCTTCCTTGTGCAAGAGACGGGGGCGCTTAACGGAAAATTGGAAATAAATTTGGGTATCGCTCAGGCTTTATTTATTTATCCCCAAAGGAAGTCATAACTAAGACAGTATGACGCACTTGTTTAACCTAAATATTTAGCTGGATCATGGTGAACGATATTTTTTACGAACAACCCTACAACCGGTACCTTATTGCTTTTTTGTCCTGAAGACCTTAGGTGAGACTAAAATCCGCTATTTCTATCTCTAAGCGAGACGACGAACATCCCTGTCTCTTTCATACCGTGGAGTAGCAGGGGGGAGTGCACAAAAGCCCAATTAACCATTTCGGTAATAAGTGTTTTCTCAAGGTGATAAAGGGGTCATGCGCGTGATGTATGATTTGAAGCTAAAATTAGCGCGTGACACCTGAAACCATTTCATTGGTGGAGTAAGGGAATAAGATGGAGGGTGAAATTCAGGGCAAAAATGTAGGAAGGAGGGAGCAAATAAAACGTTTGGAGACAGATGGAGGAGTGCATGATTTTATGGCTTTTTTTTACTTGAGTGTTGTCAAAAGTAGTTATGTTGTCTCATGTCCGCGGCTGGTCCCGGAGAAAAGAGAACTTTTTCGAAGCCAATAAGCAAGGGTGCATGTACTCAGTCAACAACGTGATTTGCAGCACGGAAACGTCCCCAGCGGCGAAGAGCGTTGAGAAACGGATTTTTTCGCAGGCTACGTGATCTGTGTTCCTTTGTGGAAGAAATGGTGAAAACCAGGAGCCTATGGCTATGAGTCATTAGCCTCCCACGTAGAAACGCGTGACGAACCCCTAAGAACGTCTACGTGGGAGGCTAATCAGAGTCATGGGCTCCTGGTGAAAACCCAGTCGCCCAATTTACAACAGTAAATTGTTGCTGTTTTTGTTGAAGTATTGCTGGATGGATAGAATTTAAATACTGCAACAAGGTCTAAAGATTCTCATCTCCATCTGTCCACACCATTGAGATGTCATTGACAAACGGGGCCATTTTGAAACAGTACGTAAGACTGGGTCCGTGTTATGTCGAACTGCACCGCAGGACTATTTTGGGGACGCTATCTAAATCAGTCTGGTCCCGGGTCCCGGGAACCTCTTTCGCAGGGTCCATTTAACAAAGGGAGAAAAAGGAGATAGGCCCAAAGAATGAAGTTGCCTTAGCGATTGTCTTTGTAATGCCTTCATGAATTATTAATAGCTTTGAGATGAAATTTTCAAGGTAAAGCTAAGAGTACCTCAACCAAATCTTTTGTCATAACTTGATCCAGCAGATTGTGTACTGAGTGAGGTTTTATGAAAGCAACAACAATGGTGAAAGTCATCAACATCCTAGTCTTTGGAAGTTTACTCTACGGCCTCTCATTTACTTCTGGCACAACAAACGTTGTCTCCAAAGATGCGTCTTGTGATTTAAAGACTCAGTGCTTGGTAAGTGATCATTGGCCTTGTAATTGCAACCATAAAAGAACTGACAGTAGTCAGGGGGGATCTAGGGGAGGGTGCGGGAGGTACGCAAGTATGTAAGTATAGTATGAACAAGTGAACAAGTATCCAATATGTGACTCTCCACTTTAAAGACCTGTGCGGCGCACCTTCGGTATGGTTTTCTTGCCGGCGCAAAAGCTATCTGATTTTGTATGAACGTACCCTCAGTGTTTTGATCCCTTCCGGTCCTATCCAGGTGCCATCAAAGAAAAAATAATACTTCTTTGGTTTTTTAGAATGATGCTGTTTCTTGCCTTAGTGGTGAAAGTTTACCAAACAAAAGTCAAGGTAATTTCAGTTCAGTTTTTTATATATTACTTCCCTGTGAAGAAGATACTTTAACAATAAAGCTTGCTTCAAGAACTTTGTACAACTGACAGGAGCGCGATTTTTTGGTTGTTGACGATGTTATTGTTTTGTTTTTTTTTGTTTTGTTGTTTTTTATTTTCACTTTCTTGTGATTCATTCTTTAGTCGCGAAAGAGTTGGCAGAATTAAAGAAAGAGGTACGTGTTTAAAATTGTGTTTGACAACTTCTGCGATCTCATTACTGTTGTTAGTCTGCGAACAGGCTTCCAAGTGGAACAGTTACCGATCTGACCAATCAGATCACGATACCAGAATCTGGTATCATTTTTAGGTGGCAGCATCAAAAGTCTACGGGCTCCCCTGCCTCTTTATCCCGTAGGCTACGCTCAGCTAGCTTCGCTCGCCGAAACTTTTTTTCGTCCGGCTTTACTCGGGAGCCTGTTCGCAGGCTATATTGTTGTTAGCCCATGAATTGAGTGATAAAATTGTAAAATTTAATTTTACTGAAAAAAAAAGTGGATTGCGATGTCATTAGGCTACGGTTCGGGTACTTCTTCTTCAGTTGCATAGCGTGTAAAAGCTTCCGCCTTTTTCTCTAGCTCTGCCACAACTGCTGAGCTACCGCGCCTTCCACTGTCCCCTTTTTTGTCTACATCAGTACAATTGGCGTCAACTATATTAATAACAGGAAACATTTTCCAAATTTGGTCAACGCCAACTGGTTATTAAGAATTAGTCCTGGAGTTATAAGCCAATCAGAAACGGAGAAATATTTTGAATGAATATTAAATGCCTATTAGCCCGCATGATATACAGCTGTAACAGGAGCGAGATATGTGATCATGATGCGCGCGTCCTCGTCAGCTGCGCCTTTCTAATAGGGTCCTTACGAAACTACGACGGCGACGGCTACGGCTACGGCAACCTCAAAAAGCAATAGGTTTAGTTAGCGAAACAACAACCCTGCACGTGCATCACGCTTTTTTGTACATTTCTTTGCTGTCCCTGCACGACTACGACGGGAACGACAAGGCGATAAATTCTATCATCTCTTTCTGAACTCGCGTGTGGCCCCCTCTCTTCAGCTCCAACATAAATTCCCTTCTTTTAAGTAACTGGGCGACTTGGGCTAATCGCGAAATGGTTTGAAAGGATGCGGATTCTTTTTTTCAGCGAGGTTTTTATTGATCCGTCGTTGTCGGATCGTAAGGTCCCTATTTTGTGCCCTGCTGCCACGTAGGCTAATATCCTTCTCGTCAAAGCTAGTCATTTCCTTGCTAATAATTCAAGTGGTTAGTCTTTACTCTTAGTCAAACATCTGTGCAAAAAATGATTACTATTGGTTTTTTTTTTATTATTATTATTTTTATTTATACTTTTTATCCATTCTTTATAAACTTTGTTAGTTAGTTAGTTAGCGGCTGGCTAGACTAGTCATTGAGCCGACTACTTACTCGGGCTAAAAAGTTATCTTGGCAAATTAAGAGCAAATATATCAGACTTTTTGCCCTTTAGGTTGCTTCGCTAAAAGCCAAACTTGCTACAGCTGGAAAGCCCGGTGGTTTCGCCATGCTTGACAGCAATGGCCATATTCCTCAAAACCTTCTGGTAGCAGGTTATGACAAACACTCAGCCTACGACCTAGGATGGCAGTCCCTCCACATGGCGGCTGCTGCTGCCTGCAGAGGAAGCACTCCCTCAGGGGGAAGTGGATGCTGTGGAAACACCGTATTAGTGAGGAATACCGCTTCCGGAAGAACATGCGCACAGATTTGTGCCCTGAGTAATACTCCCAACTGCGACGCTGAGGTTTCTATTTACGGAAGAGAAGGAAAGGCCAAAGGGAACGGAGAAGTAGTGGGCTACTTCTACAACTACAATTGTGGTTATGGTGCCAACGGAGGAAGTGAGGCGTCCAACTCGGATGATGCCGTCATGAGTCCTCCAGCTACTTATTTCAGCTTCTGTTGCTGCCGAAAGTAAAAGCAGCGTTGAACTTATAGTTTTACACGCTAAGGTTTCATAACAATTACTGGCCAGCATTTAACTGCCCATTCAAAAGTACACAACAATAGATAATAAAACTTCCTAAGTCTGGCAGAGGGTATGTAAAATATAACTGGACAGACTTGAATATTAAAAGCAAGCGAAATAATGTTTAGCATAATAGGTCCTGGTTAAAAGAAAAAGGTTATTTTTGTTAATTTGCTAGCAGCGTGAAATAAAATGTTTGCAAAGTTTGTCATGGAGTTGACTGAATATTGCGTTCCTAAATGCGAATGGCGCTCTACTAAAATAAATTTTTAGTATACGACCTGACACCATTTCGCGGCAGTTATTAAATTTTTCCTTTGCTTAAGATAGAAGATCTTGGAAGATCTTGGAAGATCTTGGAAGTCATTAAGTTCTGAAGAGATGTAGAGTGGCGGTTTCCAAGCTTTTTGATCACACAGCCAGGTCGACGGTAGACAGCACTGACACACTACTCGCACTGACTGCGTAGGAGATAAGGTCGACATGAAAAGCATCTGGTCTCCGGAGCTCCTCTTGAAAACTGACTTGAGGTCTCATTAACAATTATTCCAGGAGTGCCTGTTGAATATGAGGTGGTAGGAGTAAGTTTATTAAGCCATCCGAAATGCATGACATGTTCACTAAACTAAACAGGGACAACCATTGGCTGATTCTTGGTCACATGGCCTTGACTAAAATCAAATGTATCCCGACCGTGATACATTAAGCAATGTATCCCGCTCGGGATATATTGCAGCACAAATAACGTTGGAAAGTGGCGAGACAGAAGGCCGGAAAAACACTGCCAGGTCCTGCCACTGGCTGGCAGTTTTCTTTTTGGTGAACGAACACAACAACACCATGAAGCCTAAAGCTAAAAAGCAACGATTTTCAAAGTTATCCCAGAAGAGAAACAACAGCTAGTCGAGGTAAAAGATGCAGATAATATAAGGAAAAGAACTTTGTAAATCAATCATTCAGTAGTTTTGAGAATTAAATTTGTGTTCTTATAACTACCGAGTCGACTGCTTTGATTCACTCTGCTTAAGCGTATTCTTTTGTTACAGTTGAAGTACATTGAAGTAAAAGTCTAGAAATACAGTCTACTCTCTCGTAACGGACACCTCTGTAAAAGGGACACTCAGAGTAGGTCCCTGCCTTTCTTTACTCCCTATTTGACAGACATCTCTCTAAGACGGACACATACTGCAGGTCCCCAAGGTGTCCGTCTCAGAAAGAGTTGACTGTATAACAAAGCACTTAATGTAAGGTCCCTCGGGAGACCAGTTAGTTGTTTTCTCCTTCTATTCCGAGCCTAAAAATGCCGGGGAGACTCAACTTTTGGCCGATTAAGTTTGTGGAAGTACTGTGCAAAGAGGATGGTGAAAGGTATCCTATTAGTTGAAAGAACACTAAATATTCACATTAAATATTGTCAGTGGCTACGTTAATGATTAATATTCATAAGTCACGAGCAGTGCCTTATTTCTGAAAAAACACCGCATACTAAGGCTACATTAACTCGAGTATGGATATATTTTGAAACCGCATACAGTTTGTACACGAATCGGCCCGCTCCTCCTACAAGAAACCAGTGAATCTGGTCACCGAAATCGAATTGTTTTGAAACAGCTCTCCAGAGGCGGTTTATGGCGCCGTCCACACGAATAAGGACAAAAAAAATATGCGGTTTAAAAAATGTTCGGATTCGTGTGGACATGGCCTAATAAGCAGGTGGTGCATATGATGTATTATCCACCATTTGATAGGTCAATGGGCTTTTGAATTATCAATGAGTTTTTGATATGATGATCGTTTGAACTTGACATTAATAAGACCATTCAAGGCATATAAAAATCGTAATTCGACGTTTGAAAGTCCTAAAATTAATGACATCTCAAACGTCATAAAAATATTGGCGAACAATGGAAATAAACATAATGTTCAAAGGACATCAGTAACTTCTAGTTTGGATTCTCGCTCCGTTTATCACACTCAGGCGTAGCATCTAACCGACCTAACCTGCACTGCATTTGATTGATAAAACGCAGTAACTTTGCTTTCGCGGTAAGTGGCGTACGGGTAAAAGGTTTTGCGGCAGAGTTTTGTCACCTCATTTAACACTGGTTTTTGTTTATCTCAAACAAAAGTTCCGATTCCGTAGAATTTTGAAAAATAACTGTCTAATTTTCACGAAACTTACTTTGGATTTTCATTCGCAAATAATGAGCCATGTTTATAGACTTCATTGCAGAAAGCCCGCCTCTTTAGCCAGAATCCCTTATTTCGAAGAACTTTTAAACTGGTTAACTTTGTCTAGAATCCAGCACGAAAACATATTGTAACGTTATCTCATTCTTGTACCAAAAGTAATTTGAGGCAAAGAAAGGCTTAGCTAAGGTGGTTTAGGAAGAGAAGGTCCCTTGGTTTATTGTATTAATAATGATTTCAGTTTCGGTTAGTCTGAGAGATAAAGTTATTCATCACTATCTTGGTCAATATGTCCGTATGCCTGCCAATTGCGTCGCTCCTGTCAAAACAATGCTGTCGTTAAGCATTTTCTTTAAAGAGCTTTTTAAAAGTAGAACCGATAATCGCCTCGTATTGCCGGATCTTTCACTGCTGAATTACTAGTATTAGATCTGAATTTAATATCTGTCCTGAATATCTGAAACGTTTTTCTGATATTGTGACAGGAAATTGTCAGTGACTCTCAGAAAAATATCGAGCTAATATTTTGTTAGTTTCCTTTGGTTTCTTTCCTTCCTTTTTTTTTTACTTTTGTTCCTCTTTTTGACTTAACGTAGTTTCCGTTTCTCACACTGAGGATATCATTAATCATTGCACGAGAGAAATGATTTATTGACAAAGCCAATGTGTTAACATATATTGCCTTACAGTACCGACATGTCGCAGACCGTTGTTATTCTTTTCATTGCTTTCCTTGCATACGTACAAGGATCACCGGTAAGTATTAACTATGTTTCCCGTTTGTTGCCCTTTTCGTTGTTGAATACATGGTTGATAGCGGCGCAAAATAATGGAAAGAGGAGATGAAGCAGAGCTAATCTGGATACTCAGTTTTCTTTGTAGGATAATAACAGGTTACAGAGAGTTTGGTCATATTATTCCACATCTGGGGAATTTAAGCTAATCTAGGGTAGCTGTAAGTAAGACAACAATTATTAGCCTGAGTATCAGGCCTTCCTAAGGGGCTAGGGCAGAGGAAATTTTAGAAGGGGGAGGGGGAGGGGGAGAAGCTCTCAGCTCTCTCCCTTTTTCCCTTCCATCTTTTCCCTTTTCCCCAGAAACGCCTGATACTCAGGCTAAACAATTATGTTTTCGTTTTGCTATCCTAGCAAATCAATCAATGCATATTTGTTTATTTGTTTCTTGTAAATGAATGGCCGTGCAACAGAATTATGTTCTACTGTTCTAGGTTTGTTTAAAAAGCAGAAATAAGTTCAAGGTCGATCAACTTCAAACGATCATATAGGAATGCCATTTTAAGAAATCTTTTTTATCTTCGCAAGAGATTTAATTTTTATTCTTTATGGGTAAATATAAAGTAATTTAAGCCTCGCTTTTCCTTGTATATAGACAATTTTAGCTAGTTTTTTTTTTTTTGACATGAATGGTTTATCTTAACGATGAAATATTTAGTTAGGAGTATTTCTTTTCTTTTCTTTTTTTTCTTTTTTTTTCTGTTTTTTAAAGGAGTAATAGAAAGAGCCCCAATGTGGATGATTCAATAAAGTTTGTATTTTGTATTTTTCTCTGGTCCGTACACCTGTTCGTACCGTCCCTACTATCCCTTAGCCAACGCTTAACACCAAAGGACTGTACTAAGATAAACATATTTTTGCTCTGACTTCTTGCTTTTTGGATCATAGATTGCACAAAACTAACCTCACTCATAACTTCCTTGATTTTTTCCTTCCACAGCATCTCATATTAGGTAAGAGGATAATTATATATATATATATATGTATTTTTTGTATTTTTTATTTTTTTTTTTCACCTTCTGGAAAGAATGAACTGGCTACAATCCGCAACAAAATTGTTGAGACACTGTCCGCAAAAGGGGTAACTTCGGAGAACATCACAATCCACACCCCTACCCCTCCCCTCCATTTAAAGTTGGGGTGTTAGTTGTTTTCTATAGGTAGCTCGAACAGCCACACAACATTGCATTAGGGGGTGGGGGAGGGAAAGCTCCATTTTTCCCTTTTGAAGTCGGTAAAACGCCAGAAAGACAATTTAGGGCAAAGTATCTCAACTAATTTTGTCGCAGATTGTAGGTCGATAATTCAAGTTAAAACGGTAACCAACGCTCAACAAAAACATAACAAAGGGGTAGGAAGAACGTGAATTTTTCTTTGATCTGCAAATATGTGTTCGAATTAGCGGTAAATTTCGTAGAATATATGACAGGGAGACTTACTGGCCTCCGCTTAAACGTTTCAAGGTAGCTTTCGTCTATGTTTCAAGTCTTGTATATGTCTGCTGTTTTGTTTTTACGCGGAATGAAGAATTCTGCTGAGCTCTGGAATGACTGAAAATTTCAGCTATTCTAGGAAGACGGATTTGATTGCCCTCCGAGAGTAAATACAGCAGTTAGCGGTTTCCGAACAACTCTTGGTTGCTGACCTGACGATAAAACAGACTGTGCAGATAGGTGGAGGTAACCACTTGATCTCTAGAAAAAGAAGAGATTACTTTAATGCTACAAATATTACCGGTTCGAGATACAAGAACTTTCTCTAAAGTACAAAATGTCACGAAAATAAACGAAATCAAAATGCCTGATCACTTTATTTAACAGGTTTAAGTTGCAACTGTCCCGACAAATCTTTGCCTCCTTGCCCTGATTCTGGAGCATGTGCAGCCGTAACCTGTTTACCAGGCCGCTCCTGTGAGCCATGTCCTTGTAACTGTAACATCGCCCGGTGCGTGCGAACAGCACCACCTCCATTTCCAGGTGAAAGTCATTTATAGAGACTTCTTACTTTTGAAAACAAAATGGGATGAAAATGGAAAAACTGCATGATCTATTCCTTTACTCAACAGGCCCAAGATGCCCGTGCCAAAACGAAGATTTCCGGCCACCTTGCCCTGATTTTGGAGCATGCGCCGCCATAACTTGTGGACCAGGCTTCTCCTGCGAGCCTTGTCCTTGTCAGTGTAGAACCGGCCAGTGCGTGCCCAGCGACCGACGGTAGACGTCAGACCAGTCAAAGATACATCTCGACAATGCTACATTGTCTGAATGATCAAAAGCTATATAACCCTGCCTAAATCTTAGAAAACGTACAACAACTTACAAGACTTAATTGATATGAGAACTTAAAATGTCTGAGGTAAATATATTTCATTGGATGTTATAGTCCTTTTAGCTTTTTTGTTGACAATAAACGTTACTGTAAACTCTGCCTTAACAGTTCCTCGTCTTTCTTGCCTTATTACTAGAGTGTTTCAAGAATGTTCGAGAGAGGAAGGTGGAGATAAAAAGATATACTTTGCAAATGTTGGAATTATATTCGTCGTCATATAAAATTGTGCTCGCAGATCCGACTGCCTTTCTTTGTAAATATTGAAGCACTATTACTTCGGGGAAGGAAATGCAAATATCTAACAACTTTTAACCGAAGTGGAGGAAAATATCTACATCTTTCACCGACAATGAGGTGAATAATTGTTTTAACATGCACTACACAAGCTGAATGAATAACGACCCAAAATATTACTTTATTTTAGTCAAATGCTCTGAAGTTTTAAAATCTCGCTTGCCGCAAAATGCATATTAATTCTCAAAAGGTCACATGGCAAGTCAAGTGATCAAATAAATTCAAACTATGTTAACAAACGAACGACTTCAAACGTTCGACGATTTTCACTAGTCATAAAACTCCAACGTTTTTCGATCCGACACTCTGTTGTCAACGAAAAAAAGTCCAGTTGAAGTCTTGTTTTTTTTTTTCTCCCTCTCTCTTAGGCTTCTCGGAGGTGAATAGTACTTAGCTAATCACCTCCGAGCTGGTTAGCGCGCGCGAAAAGCACGATTCACTTGTGTGGTATATACTAATTGATTTTATCGGCAGACCTGATTCAAAAAATAAAAAACACCAGATTCAATGAGCCTGGCAGACGTTTCAGCTTATCCAAATCAGTGCATGTAATTTTAAATGTGCAAACTCATAACAGATGTTGGCAGAAATAAAATGGATACACCTTACTGTAATAAGTATTACCTATCGAATCTCCCACCACTATGCGCGTGTATGGACTTCTATTAGGGACAGATACGCAGACTGCGAAAACTTACTGTCAATGTATATCATTGACTAAGCTCGAAGCACTCAGGAGTTCTATCAAAAGAAGTCATTTGAAAGTGCTAGTGCGTTTCAGATCGAATTGAAATTTGGTAGTCTTGGTTTTTGAAGAGACGGGGAAAACCGGAGTACCCGGAGAAAAAACCTCTCGAGGCAAGGCCGAGAACTAACAACGGTCAACCCACAAGTTGCTACATTGTGGGAGCGCTTTCACCACTGCAAAACCCTTGGTCGGATGTTACTAAAATGTGGAACGGGGAGCGGAAAACGGGAAAATGACCTTAGCCCTATTACTAACTTCATTAACCATTCTCTGTTTTGTTTTCATTTTTCCCGTTCCGCGACCCGTATTTGTACTTGTTACCCGGCCGTACGTTCCCCGTTTTAACGGTAAAATCTACCCTTGCAACCATGAACATATACTTTGGGCCAAAGAAAACATCAGCATTACTGTTCAAGATGATTAAATTTATGTCTCTCTATATATCCGGAAAGATATTTTGCCGAATACCTAAGGATCTCAGACGTTACTCTTTAAGTGCTAAATAGGCATCCGAAGAAATTGAATTTCGTTTAATATTTAGCGTTAAGATGTTATCAACATCCTTTGCATAACATGACACGTACTGTGGTAATTAATAATAATAATAATAACCTCAGAGTTGCTAAGTCTCTCTTAAATAGTGATATCGGAGATCCTTATATATTTGATAAACTTTCGGGATAGTGAGAAAGATATCAAATCAATCATCTTGAGCTGTAGAGAAACTCAAGAATGGTACAGTAGTTGTATCTGGATTGAAATAATCTTGAAAATGTTATCTTTTTAAAAGTCATGACTTTAAAACTACATTACTACCGAATCACACTGTATTGTACATGTTAAGTTTCTAACATCTAATAGGCCCGAATACGTAATGTAACTGTTCACTGCAGTCTCGTATAATTTCTTTGTTGTACGTAGTTTTCCTTTGCGCTCGAACAGGCACATTCCTAAACTTTTGCGCGGGCTGTTGGTTAACAGTTTTCTTATACAATCTAAAATAAATTGAATGGTGATAGTTTCGCCGTGCAGTCAACCAAAATTGTATTTCGATAGACCGTGATAACTAATTCTTTATTATTATTTCGATTGTCTTTTCTATCTTCTTTGAGAGGAAAATCAAAATTGCAGGGATAGGTAGCATATCTTCTTTTAGTTCTGTGCTTGTTTCCAAATTAGGCTCAATCAAACGGTCAAATCTAATATTGGAACCGGACTTATCCAATATTGGAACCGGTTTGCCCAGTTTGTCGCTCTCTGCTTTTGACTCACGTTTAATTATTTTTACATTTCTATACATCTTATTTTGTTCCGTTCACCTTCGAGACAAGTGTTTAACAGGGTAAAACCACGCGTGAAGCATTCACCTCTATCTGGAGAAAGGGGCGTCGAAACTCACTACCGACGGTATGGCGTCACGTTTTGCCTCAATGACTTAAAACAGGCGTCTAGCTAATATTAAAGAAAAGAGATTACCAGACATTCGGAACTTTTTAATGGATCGAACTCTTATCACTTTCCTGATATTTGTCCATGCTAAGATTTTCATTTATATCGATACTTCTATATTAGTTGGTTGTGATAGGTGCACATTAATTCAAGCCACGCCTACCCTGTGGTGATTTTTTGGAGACGGAGGTTAAATACGCTGCAAACTGAGCTTGTAGTATTCTCTAGTCTTCTGGAAGACCACCTGAGGCTACAAAAACCCAAGAGATTTTGAGGTACGGGACTGCTGATCTAAACATTTTGAGTATTCGGTACTTAAAATAAATATACAGACAACTCGTGAATTGACACTTGCTTCAAAATCATATTTTTTCAAATAATAGCTTAATATTTTTCTGAGCATTCTTTGGCATTTTTGAAGGTCTCTAAATTTTCAAAATTCCTTTAAAAAATACCAGCCATTAGGCATTACTAAAAGTAATTTAGTGAGGAAATAAAGCACACATGCCATAACCAGTACAATGAATGTTTTTTGCATTGCTTTTTTAATTGTCGCTCCCCAAGTCGAGTATCGCATGGAAGGTGGTTAAACCTTGGGGCCATGCTCTTAAATCCAAAAGCAGAGTCTCTTACTGATAGCGTATCACATTAAGCAAACTGACTAAACATAATGATGACTGTTACTACACAATGTATAGGTAGTTATCCTTTAAATGATGGTAACAGATGCTCACAATATCACACTACTGCCTCCTTGAACTCTTGATCATTGATTTTCTCATCAGGTACATCATAGAAACTGATCAGCTATTAAAAGATGGCTGTATTCTACAAACTCTTCTTCATTATGACCTTCGTCTTCAGTGCGTTTGTAACTCTTGGCGATTCAAACGCAGTTTCTCAATGTAAATCCTGCGATTTGGAGACTCGTTGTCTGGTACGTGAGATACTTCAGTAGTGGTTTTGACTAAACAAATGAGAGACGTCGTTCAAGGAGCTATGTCACGAATGATATTGCACTGTTTTAGGTCCATTTTTTGCTACAGTCATTGCTTACTGACTTTACCCACACACAAAATCCTCCGGTAGAGTAATGAAGAATATACCAAACAAATCTCGTCAAGGAACATGAACAATTATAATTTTGTGGCGAGTTGTGCAGGCATAGCATTAAAACTTGAAAACTTTTACAAGTTTCACTCCACGACCATCCCTGCCATCCTTTGTAACAGGCGGCAGGAAACAGTTTCAATGCCTCAATATAGTCTTAAGTAACAAAACTGGACCATTATTGATGCAATTAAACAAATGTTCAAACAGCGTGACAAACCCCTTCAAACGGAAATAATTCGTAAATATTTTATTGCGTTTTTACGTGTTTTAGGAGTAGGTTGCTCGAAGGTTAGTTAACACTAAAACCATGGATAAAGGAAATTTAAACCCATGATCGAGTTATTTTATTATTATTTTAATTTTTTTTACAGACTATTTGGAGTCATTTTTCTTAACAAGAAAATTATATATTAAGTTTGGCTGAGTCATTTTGGCTTAGCTTAACTATCTTTTAGGCAACCCAGGTTTGGTGTTTATGACGCATATTTAACTAACCCAGGCGAGGATTAACCTAACAACAATTGAAAATATTTTCCTGGCTTTTTAGACAGAATATATATGTACAGTTGGTTTAAAGGCCCAAACATCTTAACAAATTAATTCCGGTCAAAGCCCGCATCTCCTCCGGATACAAGCTTCCTCCATTTTTCCTTTTTGCTTAATATAACTGTTTTTGGTAATGAAAAAAAGCACAACTTAAAATTGAAAATAAAATGCAAGTACAGTACGGAGCAACAATTAAGTTCTTAGAAGCGCAATTTTACAGTAGAGGATTCAATTGATTACGTATAAAACATTGCTGATTGTTTTATTATTTGCGTGTATTGTACAAACCTGCGACAAAGTACTGAAAAACTTCTAAACTGATCATCTCTCACTTTGAAGTCTTTTTGATAATTACGTATTTTGCCTTATTAAATAGAATGATGCAGTTTCTTGCCTTACTGGACAAAGGCTCTGAAACCAAAGTCAAGGTAATTGTAACTCCTCTTTAATTGATAGTCATATTTATTTAATTCTCCTTGGGCTGGGAAAAACAGGTTTAGTTGATTGGTTCACAGACCTATGTCCAGGGGTTGGGGTGGGGAAGGTGACTCTATATTTCTCGGAAGGTTCACGTTAATTGTTGTAGTCGTGCAGTGGCGGCAAAGAAATTACGCACGTACAAAACTGTTGTTTTGCTTATCATATTGCACACTCACTATACTTTATTTCATGCACATCATTTTGCCATCTCCACCCGCAAATAGCAAAAGCTGTCGTCGTCAAAGTTGCTTAATCTCCCTGTCAGATTATCCTTGCCTCTGAGACAACCGTGACATCCATAGTCTATCCACCAAAAAACACTTCAAAAGAAGCGGAGTTTTATACAGGTTTTATGATCGTACCAACACAGTTAAATGGAGAGCTAAAAGGGAGAAAAGCTGGATACGAACACTACTTGTCGACAAAAAAGGTTTCTCTCCCATGACGGAAACGATGATTGGCCAGAATCAGATAACAGAAGCCTTTGTCAGTTCATGTAAGCTGGCGAACTGAAATGGTGCATGATCCGCTCCGGCCATGACAACCTGCATCCCTAAATTACTAAGAAGATACACAGGTGTGGCCCGTTCAGGATCCGAGAAGACGGACTCGGTTATTAACCTGCTTTGTTTAATGTCTTTTGTTACAAGTTTCAGTTTTAAAAGAGCTGGAGGAATTAAAGAGCCAGGTATGCATTTATATAGTTTAAAGCATAATTTGACAAGAAGTCCCCAGATTTTTTGTATCATTTAACAATGCTTTGTTCATGAGCTGACACTGAACCATGACTCTAACTCCCATCCAAATCTTTACTCATACCTTTACACTGGGCGTTAAACCGTTTCGACTAAAGAAATTCACGCTTTGTGTCAATTTCGATGCTCTTAAATTAAAACGACTTAGATTATAGCTATGAATTCCGATTCCGTCTAATGCGCCAGTGCTTCTGTTAGCCGACCGTTCTTTTCTTTACTCCTAAAAGCATTCAATCCCTAGTTATATAGATGGGTGGCCATTTTAGTCAGACAATTAGCTACCGTTCAAAATGTCAGCCTTTAAAAACATTTCATAGTAGAATATCAAGACTATCAATGTACTTGATCTCGTCAGTTGATATCCAGTCTCAGGTGAGGGTCCTTTACGGGTTGCTAAACTACAAGCCCAACTGGCTACAGCTGGTAAGCCCGGTGGTTTCGCCATGCTTGGAAGCGACGGCCGTCTTCCTCAAGACCTTCTTGTAGCAGGTTATGAAAAACACTCAGCCTACGACTTAGGATGGCAGTCTCTCCACATGGCGGCTACTGCTGCCTGCAGATGAAGCACTCCCACAGGAGGATCTGGTTGCTGTGCAAACGGCGTATTGGCGAGGAATGTTGCTTCAGGAAGAAACTGCGCACTGATTTGCGCCAAAAGCTCCTTTCCAAACTGCGACGGGGAGGTTTCTGTTTATGGAAAAGAGGGCAAGGCTAAAAAAAATGGAGAGGTAGTGGGCTACTATTATAACTACAACTGCAATGCTTACCGCAATGGAGGAAATGAGGTGACAAACTCGGATGAAGACATCATGACTGCCCCCAATATTTATTTTAGCTTTTGTTGCTGCCGAGCTTAACATGTTAAGTTAAGACAATCTAAAATACAGTAACTGTTGTTACGTATAAAATGATTGGTCATGATATTTTGTGTCCTTACGGTACGTTTAAGTAATAGTGCATAATAAGGAACGAGTGCCCATTATCATTGTACCACAGTTGTAATGCATTGTTTTGTACCCACGTATTGTATGTTTGAAATTAACCATAATAAAAAACTTTTGCGTGCCTAGTGCGTTCGTGTATTTCCCTGGCTCAACTCTCCCTGAGGAATACGAGGGACTATTTCGCACTCTAATCTCTACTTCAATTGGGATACTAAAAAAAATGGCACTTTTACAAGTACGTAATATATAGATAAAAGCCTGCCTAAGACGTCGATATCAGTGTTTAGGGATGCAAATGGTATTTTAAAAAGCTTTCTATTGTCATCTAGTACTGTCTTCACTCTTTTTGAAAGAAGACTAATGTTAGCCTTCCTCCAAGAGAGGATAAAGGGGACAGAGAAGGCATCCCCCATACACACTCTACTCCATAGGTAATTCGTCTCGAGGTATTTTTAAGACCACAGATCCCAGGGGGGATTAGACGACAGCCTATCACATAGCGCGAATGTGTTCCGCGTGGATGACCCACGCTCAGAGTCACGCGTCCTTCAAGAATTGGCGCAGAAAAAAATGGCGGAAGACGCGGAGAGCGATATTGCTATTCGTTTTGTCGACGAAAACAACTAAAGAGAGATTTCTGCGAAAGCTGTGTCAGCGAAACGGAAATTAAAAAAGAATCGCACTTCCTCTCTTGTATAGAGCTAACAATACAGAAGGGAAATCCTTAACCCACTGAATATTCTCTCAGGATCATTTATAATTTACAGTTTGAAGAGAGCAATTTCTGGTTTGATATTTATTCTTTTATTACTCTTTTATTATTCAACAAAAATAACACTTGGCGTTCTGCTTGCTTTATTGTACAAACGACCGGTTTCAATAGACCGGCGAAATTTCTCATTTTATTAAAGCACTGAGGTTACGACAACTTTGACAACACGGGTTGTCAAAGAGTCCAGCGATTCCCTTTTCCCAGGTGAGCGCCGACTCATTTCGCTTCAATATTCAGGAATGCTCTCGTTCTATTTACGCTTTCATTGCCTTTCGCCCGACATGTTTTGCACAGCGTTTAGTCATGCGAACCCCCACGAAACATCCACGCAGCGCGCGAGGTAACTTTATCCCGATTCTAAAAATAACTCGAGACGAATTACCTATGGAATAAGGTGTGTATGGGGGATGCCTTCTCTGTCCCCTTTATCCTCTCTTGCCTTCCTCTTAAGCTTTATAAGAACGATCTCGTTAAACTTTAATTGCCCTCGGGCCCATGTGATTACATTTGCCAATTATTGAGTAAGGCCGAGTAGGAAGTGAAGAATTATGCAGATTGAGAAGGATATTATCCATAGAGGCTGAAGGCTGAGGTGGATAACATCCTCCAAGATCTGCATAATTCTTCAAGTCGTACAAAAGCCGAATTCAATAATTGTTTTGTTTTGAATATTGAAGCGTGGAAATGGGCACGTGAAAATCCTTTGTTCAAGAATGGCAAATCAAATGACATGGATAATTATCGACCGATATCTGTACTACCGACCATATCCAAGGTTCTGGAAAGAGTAGTTCACACGCAGTTTTATGATTTTCTGGCTTGAGAAAAGTTATTGAGTCCCTACCAATGTGGCTTCCGCAAGGGCCACTCTACTGATTTGGCTGTCTTATCATTCACTGACAGCATAAGGCGCAGTATGGATCAGGGTCTACTAACTGGTGCAGTTTTCATCGATTTGCGGAAAGCGTTCGACACAGTGGACCATGACCTGCTACTGGAGAAACTCACGATGGGATATGGAGTCACTGGAAAAGAGCTTGGATGGTTTAGGGATTACCTAACCGATAGACAACAAGTGGTGACAGTCCAAAGTCCTCTGTCAGACCTTTGTGATGTTGCTTTTGGTGTGCCGCAAGGTTCAATCTTTGGACCATTGTTGTTTGTGCTGTTCATCAATGATTTACCTACTGCTATCAGCAAATGTAATGTATTATTATACGCTGATGATGCTGTTGTTTTTGCAGCCCACAAGGACATTAAAATCTTGGAGGAAACTTTGAATGCCCAACTAGATGAAGTGAATAAATGGACTCTCAGTAATTTTCTTTTTATCAACAAAAGAAAAACAGAATTTGTAATTTTTGGAACTGATGCTAGGCTTTCTAAAGCTACTGACACAGTAGTTATCAAAATAGGTGATTATGAAATTAATAGAGTTTATGATTTTAAGTATTTAGGCATTGTTCTTGACGATAGTCTTACGTGGAAAGACCATGTTCGTTATGTTATTTCTAAGGTTGGTAAAAGAGAGCCTTAGAAGGAATATCACTATACATGCAGCTTTCGAGATGTATAATTCATTAATTTTGCCCATTTTTAATTATTGCGATGTTGTTTGGTCCAGCTGCAATAAAGCAGATATGGAGAGTCTTGAATCTTTGCAAAGGCGGGCCTCGAAAATTATAGTTAAATCTAAATGTGGTACAACATCCACCGACTATCTTAAATTTCAGAGTTTAGAAGATCGCCGTAACGCTCATATTTTAGGTTTAGTGGAGAGGTGTTTAAATAATTATGTACCACAGTTTTTAAAGAATTATTTTAAGTTGAATAAGGAAGTTATTTCAAGAGAAAAAAGAAGAAGCAATTTTATATACTTACCTGCAGTAAGAACTGAGACCGCCAAGAAAAGTTTTTATTATAATGGCTCAGTTGTGTATAATAATTATTTAGTAAATAAGAATTAGTTTTAATTGTTATACTGTACTATTATTAACTTATAGTTTCTTAGTTTCTTATTATTTATTTTGAACTTTTTTATTAGTCTTAATTTAGGGCTCCTATTGATAACAGATATACTTTTAAGTATTCTGAAGGGATTACCCTAGTTAAATAAAGGTTTACTACTATTCATTCCTTTTTTAGTTCACTCGTTAACATCCGTCGAAAGGCCCTTTCCCTTCTTTATGATTTTTGCACAAGGTAGAACTGTTTTCTGCTTTTATATCACACTTAGATGGTATTTCAAGCTGATTGATTGCAGCCATCTTTTAAACGAAGCTGCAACTGCCAGACCTATACTCAGGGTCTTAAAATAGCTGAGAAATAAGGGTGCTCCCTTTGCACCGCAAACGGTTAGACCTTCGCGTGGCTCGGATGACCACGTAAAATGGCGGTCCTGTCTCCAGTTGGAGACGTAAAAATAGTATCCCCAATTAGTACTTTCGTGCTAAATACCTTGACACTCAAATAAAGAGCTTTTTTTCAGTTTGCAAAGTCTTCAATTTATTTCAATCCTATAAGGATCAAATAATTGCTATGCGGAGGGCACAGCCTGAGTAAATGTAAGTCTATCACGTGCAGCTACTTACCAGACCCTTTAAACAATATCAGCTTGAGAGGAAGTATTAACAGAGCAAAGTCACAGGCTTATATTAGTTTTTCTTCCTCTTCTTTCAAAGATAAACGAAGCGAAGGAAAGAATATTCAAAGTTAATAAATAGGCAAACTTCAAAACCAAGGAAAAAAACTTCGTAAAGCTATGACTGAAAAGTGAAGACATCCAAGATCAGGTGCAAGGAATATCACAAGGAGGAGGAGGATGCTAGGTCCGGTCTCAATATTACTCTTGAGTTTAAAAGGGTGTGTATCAAGTAGCTTTTGTGAGAGCTTTTCCATCATAAGTGCAAAACAAAGGAAAGGAATCTGCAGTCAGCACAGTTTTAATTTGCATTTTCGTACGAAAAAATGGACAGCAAAAATCAAAACAAGATCAATAATTACATTTCACCAAGATACTACTTACATATTGGGTTGACTGCGCATAGTTTATAAGAAAACGTTGACAGCAAGTCAATGGAAGGAATGAGAGTACCCCTGGAAACGAAGTTGTGACTGTTCGCACAAAAGTTACGCGCAATGCCTTTTTGTGCCAAAAAAAGAGGGAGGAGGGGGAGAGAAAAAGCCTGTTTGATAAAACAGGTTGATAAAACAGGCCTGGCCTGGTTGATAAAACAGGTTGAAACATTTGAGCAGACAGGTGCTAGAAAGGTAGAAAATATGTATACTAACAGTTTATTCAATGTTTCACACAAATGTTATCAGGGGCCTTTGCACCTGAGACAGCACGTACTACAGTACAAAAACCGCAGTGTTTGGCAAAAGGTTATCTATATAGAGTCTATATATTCACAGGATGCCTGAGTGTTTAGCGGTTTTTAAAAGAGATTCTTAGAAAAAACGGCCTAGTAACGGTCTGCATACTATTTAAAAGAAGACCAATATTAGCCTAAAAATGAAGCTTAAAAAGCGACGAATTTTTAATTAATGGCTGTTAAAGGGAGGAAGGAAATGACATACAATTGTGGTCAGTCTCATTTTCCAAGAAGAAACGCACAATCATGTCACATATTTAATATTTTCCGCTTGAAATCGGATACAGATAAAGTTGTATTGGTCTTGACATTAAAGAGACCATCAAGGTGTGTAATTGTAGTTGGTTAATCAAAACTCGTATTCTCTGAACAAGGAAATGATTCTTTTTTTTTTTTCAAAGGTGATCACCTACGTCAGAAAAATATTACTATAACAACTTAATATAAATTCAATATTACAGGACACCGGTGGCTTTAAATTTGAGTTATCTTTGTTTCGTTGGAGTTAGCATTTAAAGGAGTACCTGAGGTCTTAGTTGCTCGGTGAGTATACTACAAAAGTAAAAACGTTTTGTCACGTCAATTACAACAAGCGAGTGATAAAAAATTTAATAGTTATAGAAAAATAAAATTAAGACAATTTGTCTTTGCACCAAAGTAAAAGTACGTTGCTAGGCCTAGTAGTAGTGAAATGATGTGTTGGCTTGTTTTAAATTAATTTAGTTTAAAGCTTTATTTAATTCAAAAAGGCATTTTGCTAGACCAAGAGTTGGCTAATCAAGTTATGGTTGAGTTGGTTACATGATGTCAGGCTAGTCGTTCCGTAACTTATAATTCAGGAAGACCAGTTCTGTAATTTTAATAGAGAGTTTTTACCCTCGCGTTCTCTTTATAAATGATCAAAATAAGTAAGGGACAATTTCAGGCGCGAATTGAATTTTCTTTCCTATCGGAATCGGCGGGTTATAAGCCAAAGTTTAATATCAACGGAACATAAAAAATATTTTGTATCGATAACAAACGTCACAAAAATATTGGCCGACAACTAAAATAAATGTTTGTAAATTTCACATTTCGGTGACTCTTTAGGCAAACTATCGCAACGCCTCGACTGTTTGACTTTTAAGGGTTTTTGCTGAGTCACTAGCTCTCTAGTAATGAATGAATGAGAACAACACCCTGAAAAAACTGCGCGAAGTGAAAGAAGACCCGTGCTGTCGATTTTGTATTATCATTATATTAAAGGTGCAGTTTTACTGATATTACGCAATACAGGCCTTTCTTTTTCGACGCTATGTCGCTGATTTCCCGGTATACCCCTGAAGGCCATCATTTTTTGCGGATGACCAGAGGAGCCCTCAATCCTAATCTCCAGGTTGCTATTACGCATGCACGGTACGTATGTAACCAGCACCGTTTGGGCTTCCACTGGAATGCACAGAACGCAATCTGATCACGAGTATTTGGACCTTCTGTCACTCGTATTCTGATCACGCGTGTTTTGACCATATATCACGTGAAAGTTACGCAAAGCACAGGGATAAAGCAAACGCATTTTGACCTTCGATCGTTGTCCCCCGCAATTCTTAACTTTCGGTCATTACTAGTTTCATTAAAATAATTTTCACATTTGCATCTCAGTTCTGACATGTCCAACATCCTTGTTGTTATCCTGATTGCATGGCTTGCATACGCAGAAGGATCACCGGTAAGAGATCATGATCATGTCACCAGGAGTCCATAACCCGGAGAGAGTAACTTCCATAAGCTCCAAGTAAAGAAATCCAAGACAGTCTTGGATTCTGGATCCCATGGTGTAGATTCCAGATTCTAGGTATTCTCTGGATTCCGGATTACTTATCATGGGAAGGTGGATTCCGGATTCCTTAAGCTAATTCTGGATTTCAAAGCCCAGGATTCCAGTTTTTAGAAGCAAAGCTTTCCAGATTTTCCGAAATAAAGATTACCTTATGTGAGGCGTTTCCATGTACTCGTGCCACGACGTTTTCATCGGTTCTCATCAGTTAAGGGCTCCTGGTTTCACATTCCTTTCTTTTAACTTATTTACAGTTGAAGCACGATGCGTTTTTTGTTTTTTTACTTTCTGTAATACCCGCTTTCATGTTCCTATGTTTTCACTGTCACTCATCATTTGAGGAAGGTGCGGTATCATTTCTTCTCCAGCATGCTAATGATGATTTTACAAAACAAAATTGGAATTTTATAGAGTTGGTCAATTTTTTGGCATTTTCAATGATGGCATGAAAGTTGTTTCTCTCCCAAAAACGAATAAAGAAATGGTTCCCGGCTTGTGTTTATAACTTTGGGCGGTATTTCTGCTATAGGTAGGACTACTGATTTTGCATCTTGAATTCCTTTTGTTTATTTATTTATTGAACATTGAAGGGTAACCCCAACAGTGAGCTAATTCGCTGATTACTGTAGGTTCAATCCCTTTCCGCCAAACAACCAAGATTTGCGTCCTGTTTAAAAAATATAACAGCTTCTTCTACCAAATCAACTAAGCTTTCCGTGATTTTCTCTCCACAGCGTCTTATTCGAGGTAAGAGTCAAATTATAGCTGTCCTTACACGTTTTAGTTCAGAATCATAATGAAATGGATAAACCTTTAATGCTTGAATCACTGTATTCAACGGGGTCAAGATGGAGCATGCTTCTCTTGCGAGCCATGTCCTTATACCTGTAAAATCGCCGACATTAAAGTGAACAGAGGTTAAAATGTCTGGTCTGTCCTAACAAATCTTTGCCACCTTGCCCTGACTTTCGAGCGTGCGCAGCCATAACCTGTGGACCAGGCTTCTCCTGTGAGCCATGTCCTTGTAACTGTAATATCGCCCGTTGCGTTCCAACAACACTGCTTCCAACATCTGGTAAAAGCCCTTTACTTATTAGTCCTTTTGATTTTACATATATAATGCAATTAAATTGGAAGGTTTAAATGTCCTATTCTGTTTGACTCAACAGGCCAAGGATGTCAATGCAGCAACAAAACTCTGCCATCTTGTCCTGACTTTGGAGCATGCGCCGCCATAATTTGTGGACCAGGCTTTTCTTGTGAACCATGTCCTTGTAACTGTAATATCGCCCGGTGCGTGCCAATATAGTCTTTAACTTTAAAATGTAAAATGCAATGGAAATGGAATGTCTCAAGGACCTATTGTTTGACTGAACAGGCCCAGAATGCCAATGCCTCAACGAAACTCTGCCACCTTGCCCTGACTTTAGAGCATGCGTCGCCGTTACTTGTGGACCAGGCTTCTCCTGTGAACCATGTCCTTGTGACTGTAATATCGCCCGTTGCGTTCCAACAGCACCGCTTCCAACATCAGGTAAAAGCCATTTACCTATTAGTCCTTTTGATTTTAAATATATAATGCAATTAAAATGGAAGGTTTAAATGTCCTATAGTGTTTGACTCAACTGGCCAAGGATGTCAATGCAGCAACCAAAATCTGCCACCTTGTCCTGACTTTGGAGCATGTGCAGCTATAACGTGTGGACCAGGCTTCTCCTGCGAACCATGTCCTTGTAATTGTGACATTGGCCGATGCGTGCCAACAGCACCCCTTCCAACTCCAGGCGAGTCATGGAAATTTTATTATTATTATTATTTACTTAAAGGATGCAAAATACAACTGTCCCAACGTATCCTTGTCACCTTACCCTGATTTTGGAGCATGTGTAGACATACCCTGTGAGCCAGGCTTTTACCGCGACTCATGTCCTTGCAACTGTAACATTGCCAGGTGCATTCCAACAGCTCCCCTTCCAACGCCAGGTGGAAGACGTATATAGTCTTTTTACTTTAAAATGTTAAATGTAATGGAAATGGAATATCTCAAGGACCTTTGTTTGACTCGACATGCCCAGAATTTCAATGCCGCAAGAAAACTCTGCCACGTTGCCCTGACTTTTCGAGCTTGTGCAGCCATAAGTTGTGGACTAGGCCTCTCTTGCGAGCCATGTTCTTGCGACTGTAACATCGCCCGGTGCGTGCGGCGAAGAGTTCCAGGTGAAAATTCCTTTTATTTAAACATAAAAGTGTAATTCTAATTCAGGGATTGATGATTTATTGCTTAACTCAGCAGGACGAAGATGCAAATGGCGTAACAAATTTTTGCCACCTTGTCGTGATCGTAGAGCATGCGCAGCCAAAACCTGTAGACCAGGCTTCTCCTGCGTACCCTATCGCTGTAACTGTAAAATCGCCCGGTGCGTGCGACGAAGACCTTATGCCACCTGGTAGACGTCAGCCCGGTCAAAGATCCATCTCAACGGTGTTACTTAACCTTGTCAAGATATAAAAACTTGCTTAATCTTAATGGAAAACTAAGAAATAAATTAAATAAAAATTCTTGCATTATAACTTCAACAGCTGCCTGAAGGTCATATAAATCCGCTGGATGTTAATTTGACTTAAAGGAGTAACGATATTTTCGGTTTATCTTTTCTTATAAGAAAATAAAGACAACTTTAAAGTGTGTCAAAGCAAGATCTACTTCCCCTGTAATATAACTTTTTGCCTTTGTAACTACCACAGTATTTTTCCTTAATAATGCGGGAGGAAAGAAAAGGCTGAAGTTGAAAAAGGGCTTTCTTTGCAAATTTCAATCATAATAGAGTACTAAAGTGTGACGTCATAAAAGTGAAATTTCTGAAATTATGGGATTTGTCAGGATATTTTGAAAGAACAATGTCTAGAGGCCTACTTGCCAAAAATGAGCATTTCGGAGCAAATTGTCTCTGAGATCGAAGCCCAGTTATTCTCAGAAAACTCCATACAAACCCTTCTAAGTTTTTTTGGGTCGACTCTAAGAAATTTCATTTTTATGACGTCATCACTTTAGTACTCTATAGTAACTGTAACTGAGATCGCAGATCTCAATTGCTTTTCGAAGAAATAACACAACTCTTGTTAATTTTTAGCCATGTTTCGAGCTTTATCCTTAACGGTGATGATGACAGGTGGAGCGTCGAAATACTGATGCATGAAACCATAAAAATTGGCAATAGTAAAGAACGGAGCTGGCTGCGGATGTCCTTTGTTAGAGGAGCCATCTATGGTCAACTTGGCTCTTAATTATAGCAAATGAACTTTTTTAAAATTCTCTCGGTCAAATCACAGCCGGCCCAAGCTCGATCCATAAATCACCGCGAGTTTCGATACTGTTTTGCTTATTACGAACGATTTGAAGAATTTGTATGAGAAATTCAATATGGCTGTTAAAACGTAGAAATATAGGCATAAATATAGAAATAAATGATAATTACGTTAACTTGGGCCTGTTGTTGCTTTTTCTGTGTAACCTGGGCTCAATTCATGGCCGTTTTATACGGTTTTACGGCGCGTTGTTTATTCGGCGTTGTTTTCCTACAAAAGCGAAGCAAGGCAGGTGATGGCGTGCAGTCTCGACTCACAAAACTCTCCTGTACCGATGAACGGCGCACCGATTCGCCAATGAAGCCCCAATTCTTTCAGGCCACACAAGTCTCTCATCTTTTTGCCTCGTCATGGATATTATGATGCGTTTTTTGTGGGAATAATTTTGGAAAGCTTTCGGCTCTGGGCAATCTGGCGTGCGCTCAGGAAACGCGATGACTACGTGTTGCGCGGTGAACGGCCTTGACGGATAACACCCTCCTCGATCTCCATAATTCTTCATAAGATACTCAGCCTTATTCATTACTTGTTAGTTTTATGTACCAGCTTAATACAGTTTCCTCAAAACAGAAACATGGCACGACTTTGATCCTTTCCGCTTAATACAAGGTGTCCGCTTAATATCCAGTCCGGTCAGTTAAGGTTTCAATGAATTTTACTTATGACACCTTATTTATTTGATTTTTCCTTTAGACTGATGCCTTTGCTTACCTTTCTGGAATAAACACTAATAATGCTGGTGATGTAGCAGTATGTAAAGTTCTAAGTATACAGCTATTTCGAGAAAGGTTGTCGCAAAAACTGTGCACCAGACAATCCCGAAAGGTAATATGGGATATGATCAATACACTTGTTCTTGACACTGTAGCTGTCGAACCTACTTTTGTTGCTTTCCTTTAGCCCTCGCAAACATACGTCCATGGCCTCTCGTGCCATTCTTTGAAATTTCTTTGAAAAACAGTGAACCAAAAACCACCCACAATACCTTTCGAGATTGTCGCGTGCACTTTTTCCGACAACCTTTCTCGAAACAGCTGTAAATAGGTTGAAAGAACGTCTCGAGCCGATTTGTGGTATATGACGGGAATGCGGAAATCAATTTCAGAGCTCTAACATAAGGAGTTATACAGTGATGATGTAATAAAGTAAATAGCGGATTTGTCTTGAAACCACCTGCAGAAGGAGTTTACAGGACGATTTGAGTAGACCTTTCAACGGTTAAATTGTTATTTATTTATTGTTCCATATTTTGACATGGATAAGTTTGGGAAAATCCGTCGACACCAGTGGAAAGACCTTGTTCAAGCTAGTAAATTACCGATTTTGAAATTGAATTGATGATTACTAAAGAAGATCTAGCTCCTAAAATCGCGAATTTTACAGGCGTTTGTATGGTGGGGTGGGGGGCACAAACTTGCCCCCACCATACAAACGTCGGTAAAATTTTCGCGTCAGACGTATCACTTATTTTGAAACGTTCTTTCCAGTGGTGTTGATGCATTTTCCCTGACTGGTCCATGTCAAAAGTTGAAACACCCTGGAAGGGTCTATTTGAAGTACCAAGTGTGCTTGATAAACCTTGGAGAAGGAATTAAGTGCCGCATGGAAAACAAAAATACAAAATTAAATACAAGATAGACAGGAAATTAAAAATTCTTATGCTATTACAGTTTTTACAACTTTAATGTTAATTTGAGAATCATTTACCAGAGCGAAGATGAATGGGCCATTTGCAAGATAACGTCTTTTTACTACTAAGACCAGAATTCATTTCGTTTTTCCTTTCATGTTTAAAATTGGTAGTCCCAGTGAGGTTTAAATAACAAAAGCCTTGATTTGTAAAACAAAACGATGCCCTGGAGGATTCTGGTCGTAGTAGTAAAATGACGCCATCGGGCAAATGGCCTATTACTAATGTTTATCCCGATCCTCTCCTTTTCAATGGCCATTCACAGCGCAAGAAGAACGCCAGTATCTGCTGGTTTGATACGTGCCGATCCTCTCCTCTTCAATGGCCATTCACAGCGCAAGAAGAACGCCAGTATCTGCTGGTTTGATACGTGCCTCTTGTGCACTAAGACATCGTTTTTTTACTGGCAGATCAAGCAAGAAGGCTGGAAAAGCTAGAAAAGGGGGGAGGCGGCTATAAAAACAAGGTCATTAATATAAATTTGAGTATCACCGAAAAGATAACCGATGCAGAAGGAAGGAAGGATTTAAAAGCATTCTCTACTTTCCAGTATCCTATAATACACTCTGTTTCGACCCGAAATTCTATTGTTAACTATTGTTTTTAAATTCTCTATATTCCCAAGATGGTGTATTTGAGAACAATACCAACTTTTGCAAAATTTAGGGGAAGTATTTCATGTGTACTTTTGTATTATGGAGGATAGCACAGTTGGATAAGCACCGGTCTGCCGAGCGGGAAGCCGCTGGTTCAAACCCGGCCAGACAATAACTTAGGGTCTTAAAACAACTGAGGAGAAAGTGCTGCCTCTGTAGAGACATCTGCGAACGGTTAGTATTTCTAGTCTTCTCGGATAATGATGATAAACCATAGGCCCCATCTCAAAATCCATGGCCCTATAAAAACCTGTGGGACGTTAAAGAACCCGCCCACTGTTCGTAAAGAGTAAGGGGAGGGACTGTTACGGGCCCGCAGTAACTGGCGTCGTTATGCTGCTGCGATGTCCCTGCCAAGAATGGATGAATCTAATAAATAAAAATAAATATTCATGTACGGATATCTGATGCAAATACTCCAGGCCCCCAAACAAAGGCTCCCTAAACAATTCACTCGACTCGAAATGACGTTCAAAAGTGTGTTCTTCCTTTGTATTCTAGGTCCCTGTCTTGAAAGCGGAGCTGGCCAAGGCCGGAAAACCTTCTAGTTTCGCCACGCTCAACAAGAATGGCCGTCTTCCTCAGAAACTTCTGGAGGCAGGTTATGGCAAGTACAGTGCATACGACCTTGCTTGGCAGTCGTATCACGTGACAGCTGCTGCTGCCTGCAGAGGAAGCACTCCCACAGGAGGAAGTGGACCCGTGGCGGATGCAGTTATGGTCAGAAACACACGTGACAAGTTGTCTTGCAATCAGATCTGTGGCCGGTCTTCTTATGGCCACTGTGACGCAGAAGTTTCTATCGCCAGGAAAAGCGGCAAGGCTACACGGAATGGCGAGCTCGTGGGCCATTTTTACAACTACGCTTTTGGCCATGCAAATAACGGGGAATCGGAGGCGTCCACTTCTAACAATGGCGCTTTGCAGTTCCAGTTTTGTAGTTTCTGCTGTTGCCGGAGGTAAAATGAACAGCTTTTGCGGCATTTTTAAGTATTCGTAGGTGAAAGAACTTAAACTGACGCTTGTGTCCCTCCCACTATCTTTATTTATCTTTTAACTTGCCCCTCTGAACTTTACAGCTGTAAATTGACCCAAATTAAGAGCTATGTTGTAAACTTGCACCCTTGCGATTCGTCCCCTAAAGTATCGGCTGTCGTCAATTTTCACTCCGAGTCTTACATTATAAGCGGTACTCAAAGACGTTATTTCAAGATACCTCGTGCGAACCTCTGTCTCGCCAACCCAGGCCCTAGCTAAACCAGTGCTGTAATCATACGAGCAGCCCACATACGACCATTGGCCCGTGTTAAGAGCTGACGGGCTGACCAAAGAGTCCATCATAACATCATTTCTCTTGGTAAAACGACAAAAAAACTTTCCATCTCCAGCTAAAAACAAGTGCGTTGCCCAACTTCCCGACGGTCTGTAGTTAAATAGAGGACCATCTTGATCTTCTGGAAATACCCACATACACATTGTCATGGAATACTGCGTATCTAAGCCTCCATTATTTGGTAGTTCAATGTAGCTGTTAGAAACTCCCCAGAACTGGTACGAGCCTTGAGAGGTCCCATCAGGTCCTTCTGCGTACTGTACATTTGAGGTAGTTCCAGCTGGCTGATTTCCCATCATGTCGCTTGAAGTGTACGCAGCGTTTAACGGATAAAGGGCGATTGGATCTGGAACATCTAGAGAATAAAAAAAGCACCGTGTTTCCTTTATTCAGCCCAGTCTGTAATAAGCCTCCAGTATGAAGCGCCAAATATAAGTACTACCCCTAGCCTGCGAACCCAGACGTATTTTCAGTTGTGGGGCGTTTCTCCCTACCCAGTTTACTTTTAGGATGAAGAGAAGTGACGACTGGAAATATGTCTGGGTTCGCAAGCTATCCCACCCGTTATCGTGAATGGGGATGAGAAAATGTTTAATTTGTAGGTGAAATAACTGACTAAATCCTGAATCACAAACTCTTTCGTAAGGTCTCTAGTTTGCCCCCCCCCCCCCCCCCCCCCTTTTTTCCCCCCTCTCGGAGGCACGGACACGGGGAAAAAGGGGGACCGGGGTTGGGTTTTTGTTTTTTCTGGATGTATTCCCCGGGCCCCCCAAAAATACCCAACAAGTTTTATTTTCAGCTTTTTCTCCCCTCAACAATGGGCGAGAAAGTGAAGGCGGGAAAAAGTCCGGGTTTGGCAGTGTATCCCCCCCGTTTACTGGATGGGGGAGAAGAAATGTTTTAATTTGTGGGTGAACAAAGCTCCTAATCCCCTCGACACAACTCTTTTGGTAAGGCCTTTGTTTGCCCCCCCCCCCCCTTCCCCTTTCTTCCCCGCTCTAGGAGACTAGGACACGAGGAAAAGAGGGACACGAGGTTGAGCTTTTGCTTATACTGTATGTATCCGCATGGTCCTCCAAAAATGACGCAACAGTTTGTAATTCAGCTTTTCACTCCCATGAACATGGGTGACCGTCATATGATAACTAGTAATTTTGATCCCAAGTTAAGCCATTATTCATTGATTTCTTTCGCACGACGGACCTTACCGAGAGCACGGGGAGAGTATTGGCTCTTCTGCAGGAGACTAGGTTGGTGTGTCAAACTGCACTCTGGGACTGCTTTGATGACGCTATATCGCTTCTTTCATCATTATTGCACACGAAACATGTAAAAGACTCGTACCCCCATGATGCGGTTGAACACAACACCAACCCAGTCTTGTTCTCAAGAATGGCCAGTAAATAGAGAAGGAAGGTGTGGCGTCAGAAAAATTTTAAATTTGTGAAATTTGGGGATTGGTTAGCATATTCAGAAAGAACAAGATGAAAAAAGCCCCCCTTGCCATAAATCAGCCTGTTAGTGCAAATGGGTTGGTAGATATAAGTACTGCTATGCTATGATGACTGCGTACAAATCCTTCTAAAACTGGATTGGATCTTATCGTTAACGATCCAGTCCTATATTAGAGGGATTTATATGGAGTCATCGGAGCATAACGTTGCCTATATCTCCTCACAAATTTGAATCAACAAGCGAACAGGCTGATTTTTGGACAAGTGAACATTTTTCATCTTATTCTTTGTGGATATACAAACTATACCCTTAATGTCACATATTTCGTTTTTGTGACGTCATCACTTCTCTTCTCTAAAACAGATGTTTTTGTAGCAACGTTACGAAAAGCAAACCAACCTATCGTCTCGCAGCGTGCTCCAATAAAGTAAGCAATGCAATTGCAGTGAAACGAGTTCACGCCATCGACGCACGTCCCACCATTCAAGCATGGATTGCTGTAGCATTCATTGATATCTGAAAAAATAAAAAATGTCTTACTTTGCTTTCAGTGTAAAACATGGAGCTCAATACAAAAGAAAGGAAAATATAGAAATAGATGATCATTTGTAAAAATGTGACTTGCAGTTTGAAGCTTATTCCTTGGTCAAAATGAATCAGCCAATGGAAGCTTTTATAAATTTTGGTCAGCTAATCAAAAACGGAGCGATTCTGCTATCTAAAAGATAACTTTAAAAACCTCTCATGTACGTTACATTTAGAACAAAATAAAAAAGGAAGCCTGTCGATGTAGTCTTAATGAAATACCTACTCTTCAAGCCATCGGCGTTAATGGATTATCAAAACCAAAAAAGGGATCTAAGAGGTCCCCACTATACTAATTAAGGAGCAGTGGCGAAGTGTGAAGTTGAGCATCCATCTTTTGGGGTTATACCTTTTGTATTGAAAGTGTCCCGAATCACCTATTTAAGCCCCTACCAGAAGCATGCATGTAACGGGGCAACTATTTTAAATAATAGGGATGCTTTTGGGAGCCCTAAAACCTTTGCGTTAACGGTTTCACTCCGGGATGGGGATTCAAGCCCAAACGTCCAGCATTTATAGGATTTCGAAGTCGTTGATCCCAAACCCGGGTGGATGGAGCACTTCGTAGCCCTGGCAACCATCCAAGAGAAGCAAACCATGAAAAGAAACCCCAGAAACCTTCAGGTTCGGACACTGAAAGTGCATTCTGGACCCAGGCAGTAGGTTTGGAGATCCAGATAATATTAGCATGAAAGTTACGATTGACGGACAGACATGAAAGTGTAAGGGCTGGGGCTGTGGCGATGCTGGATGAAAGCTGACCTGAGAGAGGCATGGTATAGTGCCATTAGCTACACTATGGTAGGAAATTGGTAGTCAGTACTAATAATGTACTCGACAGGGTGAAGTGACCAGACGAGAATCATGGAGAGAGGACGCGGATAACAATGCTGATCCTGCTGATGATGACAGGCAGATTTAGCAAAGACAACGCAACGTCAACTGGGGACGCGCAAGGTTGCGCAAAGGTCTAAACGCAACCTACGGTGTTCAACGTGACGCTTTGCTATTGGTCAAGTCGTGTTTTTAGATCTGCTCCTGCCTTCTTCACTGCCTTTGAGTTTTCTTCGCTAATTCTACCTAATAATGGTGGTGGTCGCTTTAGTGGCGGTGGTGACGATAAAAATAACGATGATGATGATCGCAATGACGATGACGATGACGATGACGATGACGATGATGGTGGTGATGGTGATGGTGATGGTGATGGTGATGGTGATGATGATGATGATGATGATGATGATGATGATGATAACGTTGATGATGAAGAAGATGATTTTCAAATCATAAAAACTGCAGTGTTCTTTCTTCTGATCAAAGACTTGTTGATTGAAAGATAGTACATAATATTATGTATGCTAGTAAATGTAAACGTTGCGACAGCCCGGTACGATGAGGTAACCTGTGTCAGGTAGAAATATGTAATTCCCAGATTTGAAATCATTCTTGTACCTGTCTGACAATGGACTCCAGTGTAGCCAACCAGGCAGCTACAAATGTATCCATTCACGTGATCAATACAAGATCCGCCATTCAAACAGGGATTACTGGAACACTCATCGATATCTTGAAAGCAAATAAATAAACCAAAAAACATCAGTATTACTTAATTAATGTATAACACAAGTAAAAAGCGTGCCAATGATTCTTTTTTTTTCGTCCTTAATCTGCTAAATAGGGGTTTGCTTTCAACATACTTTAAATAAATTAAAAGTTTCAAGTCCTATCTAAGAGGTCCCCACTATACTACTTAAGGAGCAGAGGCGAGGCTTGACGATGAGCATCCATCTTTTTGGTTATATCTTTTGTGTTGAAAGTGTCGCGAATCACCTATCTAAGCCCCTACCAGAAGCACACATGTGGCGGGGCAACTATTTTAAATAACAGGGATGCTTTTGGGGGCCCTAAAACCTTTGCGTTAAAGGTTTTACTCCGGGATGGGGATTCAAGCCCAAAATTCCAGCATTTATAGGATTTCGAGGTCGTTGATCCCAAACCCGGGTGGATGGAGCACTTCGTAGCCCTGGCAACCATCCAAGAGAAGCAAACCATGAAAAGAAACCCCAGAAACCTTCAGGTTCGGACACTAAAAGCTCATTCTGAACCCAGGCAGTAGGTTTGGAGATCCAGATAATATTAGCATGGAAGTTACGATTGACGGACAGACATGAAAGTGTAAGGGCTGGGGCTGTGGCGATGCTGGATGAAAGCTGCCCTGAGAGAGGCACCGTATAGTGCCATTAGCTACACTATGGTAGGAAATTGGTATTCAGTATTAACAATGTACTCGACCGGGTGGTGTGAATGGACGAGAATTATGGAGAGAAGACGCGGATAACAATGCTGATCCTGCTGATAATGACAGGCAGATTTAGCAAAGAAAACGCAACGTCAACTGGGGACGCGCAAGGTTGCGCAAAGGTCTAAATGCGACCTATGGTGTTCAACCTGACACTTTGCTATTGGTCAGGTCGGTTTTCAACCTCGTCACCACGGGTTTTCCCTTAAAAAATGGCCCACCCATTTTTTAAGGAAAAGCCCTGTGGACGAGGTCGGTCGGTTTTTAGATCTGCGCCTTCCTCCTTCATTGTCTTTGCGTTCTCTTGGCTAATTCTGCCTAATTATGGTGGTGGTCGCTTTGGTGGCGGTGATAAAGATAACGATTATGATGATGGCGATGACGATGTCGAAGATTATGATGATGATGATGACGATGATAGCGTTGATGATGAAGAAGATGATTTTCATAATCATAAAAACTGTAGTGTTCTCTCTTCTGATTGAAGCCTGGTTGATTGAAAGATAGTACATAATATTATGTATGGTAGTAAATGTAAACGTTGTGACAGGCCGGTAAGATGAGGTAGCCTGTGTAAGGTAGAAATATGGAATTCCCAGCTTTGAAATCACTCGTGTATACCTGTCTGACAATGGACTCCAGTGTAGCCAATCGGGCAGCTACAAGTGTATCCATTCAGGTGATCAACACAAGATCCGCCATTCAAACAGGGATTACTGGAACACTCATCGATATCTTGAAAGTAAATACGTAAACCAAAGAACATCAGTAATACTTAATTGATGTATATTTAAAAGTAAAAAGCGTGTCGATGACTCTGTTTTTTTTTTTGCCCTCAATCTGCTAAATAGGGTTTTGCTTTTAATATACTTTAAATAAATCAAGAGTTTCAAGTCCTGATCTTTTATGCACATTACCCAGGGGAAAATTGTTCGCTATGTAAGAGGATGCCCCTAGGTGGGAATTAAATCTATTGATAATCAACCCTGACAAGGGAAATTACAAACACTGTCGTCTTCCTTCTTTAGCACTGAAGCTCTGATATTTCTCCATGAAGCGATGGAAGAAAACATCCGTTTGACAGGGCCAAGCGCACCATTTCTTCAATCCTTAGCCTTCTAAGATCATAGCAGTATTTTTGCCCGGGTTTTAAGCACGATAACCTGCAGGAAATCGAGCGGAATTCCCAGGATCCTATTATATTTAGGACTTGTGTTATTCTCATTATCATATTCAGCCTATTGGTGAAAGTGATTGCGTCACAGGTGGTAAAAAAATGATAGTTTTACATCAACATTTCGTGTGAAAATGGGTTCATCTATGTTGTAAAAAGATTCACAAACGTTTTAAAGCCAAATACCTATTTCACAACTTTGTCCACTGTATCCTGCAACGCATGCGCAGTGATATTCACTGCTCTCATAACTGGGTACACAAGTTGCACCATTAACACAGGGATGGCTGGAACAACCACTCTGTTTTAACAACAAAAAACGGTCGGTTAAGTTGATTGCTTGACACTGCATTCTTATCTTCCCTGGTTACTTTATAATTCGGATTCTAATTTTGTTTGAAGTTAAAGTGGGAAGAGAAACTCTTTGTTGGTTGGTTCAAACAACAGCAATCAATCCCAAGCTTTTATCACACATTTTTAAGCAGAAAGTAATGACGTAAATTCGTTAAATTTCTTTTTCTATTTGTTAGTTTTAAAACATTTTTGTATCGCTGAGGCAATTTGTTTGGTACATTCAAATCACCTTGGCTAACGCTTAATATAGCACTAATACATTCTAGCAATTTGTTCGTGATTGATCGACAGACTCAAATACTATGCCTAATTCAATGAATTCACGGAGGCGCTTAATGCGATAGAAATTTTATAAGGAACTCCATGCGCTTTAGAGGAGCAATTGCATGGAACTCTTTAACGAACAAGGAAACAAGGGCCAAAACCTTGAAAGAATTTAAATGCTGTCTTGTAAAATTTCACATTGATAAAATGAATTTCGAACTAATTTTAGCTACAACAAAAAATAGAGATCTCGGTTACGAATACTTTTAACAGTTTTAATTTTTCAATTGTACATTTTCACGACCTATTTTAGCTACAACTAAAACTGAAATATCGGTTACAAACATTTTTAATAGCTTTTTATTTTTCTTGTAATTGTTGTATGCACGACCCCACCAGCAATGCTGATCTTTTTATCGTGCTAAAATAGAGTTCTTATCTTATCTTAAGCCTTAAGTGTTTCTATCTCACAAGCTTTGAAGCTAACTGTGAACGCTTCAGTTTCTGACAAGTCTTATTTAATAGAACGTCAGCAGTGCATGGTCGGTTTATTTATTTAGTTTTCTTTCGTAATTTAACTCTTAATGTATTACGTCTGTACATTTTGTCACTTGCTAGACTGAAACTAAGGATTTTTTTTGGTTTAGTTTTCTATTGGGTTGAAATGATCGTGGAATTCAAAACTTTGTTTGAACCTTTTTTGGAGTTTAATGTTTCACGCATGTTCTTCCCCATAGTTAAGACATTTTCCCCGCTGGAACAACAAACTGATACTGATCCTAACCTTTTACCTGTGAAATTTAAGGACCGATAAGGACTAGCCTAATTTATACCTATCATTTGAAGACAACAACCCAGAAAAAATAATAAAAAAAAAATGGGGGGGGTATTAAATACTTAGCCGGTCACAACTGAGGAAAGAAAGATACGGAGCTCAAAATTGACAGAAAATAGAGTATCCTAGTACTTAAATCAGCAAAAACAAGAACTACATAAATATTTAGACTGGGATCAAAACGTAAGGTTGATCACCAATAATATATAACTATTTTTAAGAGAAAATAGAATGTTGTAAATTTTGAAACAAACCTTGATACTGAAGTGATGAAAAATCTGACTGGAAGAAAACTTTCTTGATTCATTGTATTTATCGCTTGGTAAGAGTTCGCACAAAATCTTTCTCTCGAAGTCACGAAACACGGCAACGTTAAAGGAGAAGCAAGGAAAGTGATCGACACACAGTTTCCCACATTCTGCAAATTCATTTACCGAGACAGATAGCAAAGGAGTAGTGTTCAGGTAATAAAATGTGTGCGCTGCAAAATTGGCATAGGCGACGCCATTGCTCGTATGTCCTCCCAGTCGTTTCAGGACTTTAGTGCCATCAACGCGAAGCTCACATTTTGCTTTAAAAACCACACTTGCCAAGAAGCTAATCACAAAAACAATTGTTGATCTTCGACGGAATTGAGGCATTATGTGTTCCTTCAAGGTTGTTTCTTTAGTTCAACCTGAGCCTTAACATTTTTTACCATTTTTAACGGCCAGCTGTAGACCGAAACTGCAAGAGACTGGAAATTGTAGTAGTAATGACATCAAGGAGAACCTTTTAGTGAAAATTGCGGACAAAATGACTGTTTTTAAGTACACGATGGGGTTATTAATCCTTATAGCTTACCAAGGGCGC